TGAGGCCCTGCTGCGCCTGCGGCTGAGACTGGGGACGGGCCTGGTAGCTGAGGCCCTGCTGCGCCTGCGGCAGATACTGGGGCTTTGCTTGAAGCCCGCCAATAAACAGCAGCCATAGAAGCGCCACACTACACAACATGAAAAAGTAACATTACATTTTTAAGTTTTAGTCACTTAATTCTTCCACTAAAACACAAAACAGAATGAATGCCTTGAAAGTTACCACCTCAAAAGTGCCATAGCTTCAGACAGCGATATGATTGAATGCAAAATGAAATGCCTCTATCTGACTTCAGCTGAGCCACAACTAAACATCTGTACTGGTGCAACGGTCAGAAATCAGCAGTGCAGGTGTTTTATCTTGTCACGACAGCCAATCACAGTTCTCTCTTTCGCAAAGATTGATTGGAAAAAGGTGGAAGTAATGATGCTCCTAAGATACATGGGTGTTAAAAAATCCTTCAGTTAGAAAAATTTACTCTTCATTGTTCAGATTCCACCAATGTATCACTGAACCATTATCGGACATTACAAAATGCATCGTAGAGGATGTTGAGCTCATTCAAGTAAATGAAGTGGCATCATGTCAATCTCTGTAAATAAAATACAAATCAACCAGATTTGTAGACTCACACACCAGATAATTTCCCTCCGGAGGTTAATAAAGTATTTCTGATTCTGATTCTGATGATATGAAAGTCATAGGATATTATTTCATTTTGCATATTTAGAATAAACTTAAAATTTCAACAATAAAGCTGAATTATACACTAGCACATATGGCTGTCTCTACAAAATGCCTTGTGTAGATGAGTTGATGAAATTATACGTAATATACGGTCAGGACATAGTTTACCTGAGAATCAAAACATCACTTCATTTCTGTTATCATAAATCATTTCAAACTTTTAACAGATTTTTTTTATGTTATTGTTTTTGGTCATTACTTATGTTTCTTTTTATCTTTTCCTTTTGCATTCATTTTAAAATTACGCATTGTTGTCTTTAATTTTAGATTTTAGCACTACATTGAACAACGACAAAACTTGCTTTCATTTTAGCTAAAATGTTATCATATAATATTATTTGTTGTCTCTAATTTTGGATTTCATACTATTTGATCCTCTTCTTCTTTGCTCAGTTTATTGGTGGGTGACAACTAACTTCAGGGTGCATTACCGCCCTCTGCTGTGTGTCTTCTTCTCACTATAATAATTGCTTTCTGTACCATATAATTGGTTGTATTATAGATTAAATGTTGTCATATCATTTAATTTATCGTCTCTAACTTTGGATTTCGTAGTATAATATTTACTTTCTTTGTTTTTAAATGTAATTGTTATTGTTGCTTTTGATGTTTTGTTTGTTCCTCTTTGTGAAACACTCGGTAACATCTGTTTTGAAAGATGTTATTATTATTATTATTATTATTATTTTTGCTATCACATCACATGACCATTATCATTATTATGATTATCTTTGTTATTATTTTTATTGGAATGCAAAAAAACCAAAACATATTTATACTCCTTTGATTTAGTTTGACAAAATTATTTTTCGTATGTCTGGCCCTGATACTCTTCCCTAACACCATGCAAAGGTTCAGTTTATGGTCTCAATGCTTGGGGCTGATATTCCTAATTCCCAGCATTACTCTAGTCTTTGAATGCAGCATAAGAGCCGCCCCAGTCTACCGGTGGTTCACTCAGTCCATGGTTCTCAGGCGGTGGTGACAGTCATCAGTGGACCTGACCGGAGTGTCCACCTGCCTCTCAGCTCCTCACTTGTTTCTGCAGTGAAGGAGCAGCAGGAGTCTGGATGAATGAATGAACGAAGAACTGCGGTGCAACAGGCTCCTGGGCTGAAAGTCCCTGAAGGCTCATCCGCTCCTGTTGCACACAAACCGGCTGAGATGTCCCTGCTGTGTGTCAGAGGTAAGAGCTCCACTCACACCTGCAGGTTCACTTTGACAACCACGACCCGACACGATCTGCTGGAGCGTCTGTAGAGACACAGCTCAGTTCATCCTGAAGATTTAAAAAAAAATATATATATATCACAGGAGAACCACAAGTTCTCAGAGGAATTACTCTGGAATGTGCAGTACAGAAATATTTATAGTTTTTACATTAGTACTGCAAGTAGATTAAGTTTTTGGTCTCCTGCCAATTGAAGGTTTGAAATAAACAAACTTTAGTTTTCAGCTGTTGCTCTCAATGTAACTCACCAAGAACTAGACAAAGACTTCTACCTGTGTGTGTGTGTGTGTGTGTGTGTGTGTGTGTGTGTGTGTGTGTGTGTGTGTGTGTGTGTGACACTCTGTGTGTGTGTGTGTGTGTGTGTGTGTGTGTGTGTGTGTGTGTGTGTGTGTGTGTGTGTGGGGACTGATGCACTGACACAATGCTTTACATTACAGTGGAGTCGTTTTGTCGTAAGGTGACTGTCTGATAAGCAAGAAGACATTTTCATTGTTCAGTGCTCGGCTTTGATCTCGGTGACCAAAGTTAAGGATCCATATCAAAGTGAATAACAGTCGATGCACAGTTAATGGTTTTTATTTGATCTGTGGACTGTTACATAAAGATGGACGGCTCCAAACAAAAGTGAATCTGGTGCATCCTGGATATTTAAGCTTGATTTCTGGATAGTGGGAGGAAGTGTCGTCCATCTTTATTTACGGCCTGTATGGTCTGAAGCTGGGGCGTCTGTGTGAGTATGAGCGAGTGGGAAGTAAAGCTACAAAAACATATTTCATTTGTCTGATTGCTCTGAAACGTTTGTGACTTACGGCTTCGTAATGTGAGTAGAACACGAATGAGGATCCACTGATGTTTGCAGTCAAATTAAATCCTACTGTTCACTTGAAACGTCCATGCTCATATACGTCCAGTGAGACGTACACTTTCCCTCTGGACATCACAAAAATCCACAGTCCTCATCACTGTTGACATTCGGCTGAGTAAGAGAAATGTTCCGTGATTGAGACATTTTCTTATAAAAGGTTGATAATTATTAACTCTGGCAAAAGTCAATGTTTAAAACTATTAATTCATTCATAAGTATCATTATTTTCAGGGGGACGTTTTGGTATGATGTCGTACTTCCACATTCACCATGACGACAGTGCTGTTTTGAATATTGGCTAAAAACTCTTCCATCTACTTCTCCTGAAATGTAAACATCAGTGGTTGTGGAATAGAAAAGCTAGTTTCTCTGGAGACGTGATGTGACACAAACTGTTCTAATAAATCATATCAATGAGCAACGGCAGAAAATTATTGTTGTAATTCAAATAATAATAAAAAGTTTGGCATGTTGAAAGTAAAATAAAAAGGTCTTCTCTTTGCCACCGTTTCATTCAACATATTTGGCTCCTGTCCAGAAGACAAATTGCTCGTCTTTGGCAGAGTCGCTGATTGATTTTCACGCCATTCAAACTATTGTCCGCCAATCTCTAACTCTCAGCCCCCGGCGTATTGTTTCTCACTGATCGTTTCTGACCATTTCTCATCTGGGGTGTGAGCGCTGCCTGAGGCTGGACGGCCGCCACCTCCAAACTCCTCTATTACAGAATGATGAGATGGGGGGGGGGGGGGGGGGGGGGGGGGGGGTTTTGAGGGTTGCAGGGATGTGGTGGGTGAAGCACAGCTGAGTCGCACTGGGCTCAGCCAAGTGGAATTATAAGATAGGTCGTTGTTTAATTCCGTATCTCGCAGAGAGGCTGATGGAGAGAATGTGGCTCGTGTTCACCTGTGACAGTAAAAGCTTCGGTGAATCTTCCACTCGTACCTGAACGTTTCACAGCTTTGTTTTTTACAGACTCCGAGCTTGAGCCGGACGACACCATGTAAAATCTACAGCAATGCATTTCACCTTGTTTATCTCAATAACAACACGCTGCGCAGTGATTGGTGCTGACTCCCTTTGTGTTTGCTCTCCGAAGAAACTTGCAACTGTGTCATTGTCGAGAAAATAAGATGAGAGATCAGAGGAAAGACAAAGCTGTGCATGCACCATCATTTCAAAATGGACGTAGACTCTGGGTTTGGAATGCGAAGCCGAAGCTGTTTCTTTAGAAGCAACGAGAAAATGACTTTAACTGGATTTATAACATCGGTAAACATTTTCCTAAGAAGTTTCTTCTTCACACTAAATGGTCGAGACCAAAATCAGAGTTGATACTGATTCTTAAATCTGCAACGGTTTGTAAAAAAGTTAACTTCAATGCTTCTCATATATATTAGTGATTGCAGGTTTTAATTGATTCAGACGGTTCATTTGTGGAAATTGTGAAGTGATGATTTTGAACATAATCAACCGTGTGGTTCTCCAAATCATATCATCTGTGATTTCTCTTTAAAACTATTCATAACAAAACAATCGTTTCTGATCGTATAGCAGGATGGAAAGTAACCTGCTGTCAAGTGTACGTTAGTAGTTTGTTTAGCTTTAGATCTTTTTTATTCCGGCCACTAAAAGGCTTTGTAGCATCAGGTTGTTTGCATAATGCTGATGACCTCATGAGGACGATAATGGTTCTTTGTGAACTTGCTCTTGGCAGATAATCATTGTTCGAAAGTTAATTTTAAAATCAATAATCAACCTGATATAGGTCACTGAGATAAGTCTGTATTTCCTGCTGCCCAGAGACACAGATATGTGTTTGACTCAGAGTTGAAGTCTTTCCCTCAGACATGGCAGACGCTCTCTCCCTGTTTAAAGAGACCCAGACTTTCACTGCCATTGAGGAAAATGCAGACAAACCAGAAGAGTGGCATCCTTGTTCCTTGAGAGCCGTGATGCTTTTCAAAATCCATTTTCCTCATTCCTTGTCCCGCGTTGAGTCGAGGGCCCTCAGAGCCTGGATGGTGGCTGGCAGTCCTCCGCAGACAAGTGAGTGGCTGTGGATGAAAAGCCGAAGATGGGAGGACACAGTCTCTGACAGCTCTGTCTGTACCCACACTCTGCTATTTCTGGATAGCAATTAGCAGTGGAATAAATGCATGCAATGGCATTGCATAATTTTCTGAGTGTTGAGTCAGGGTACTGTAAAGAAATTGCATCAGAAAGAATAAAGCCGGAATAGGAAGACATGCAAGCGGACTGTTGGTCACTTGGTCACGGCGAGGGATTCGAACTCTTTGTCGTGTCTGCCGGCCCCCCCACAGAAACTGAGTTATTTTCATTTTGTCAATGTAAGGGAACACAGTGTGGATTCATGACGGTGATGTGCGAAAGCATTTTTTTAGGCCACCAGATGTGATAGGTGAGGACGGAGCAGGTCGGCCCGTACAGCGGCTCACTGCGCCGGACCGACACAAGTAAAGCTTCAGAGTCCTGTCTGGGAACAGGGGGGGGGTGGGGATAGAGGGAGAGAATAATCCCCAGGCCATCTGCTGCTGTAGCTCCCCTGTGAATGTGTGTCTATGCTTATGTGCATCTGTGAGTGTGTGTTGCACTGTGACTCACGTGGGTCTTCACTTCCTCCTCATCCCCCTCCCCTCCATGATAATGCCACTTCCTGGTATCGGCCTCGCTCGCCCCCGACCGCCTCTCCACACTCCTAATCTTTTCTGCCGGCCACTCGTCTCAACTCAGACTTTTTCTTTCAGTCCTGCTCTTAAAAAAAATTCATACAAAAAATAATCTCAGGGAAATACAGAGCGTTTTGGAGCCATGTGAAGTGGCTCTAGAAAAGTTGACTGGTGGGTTTGTCCTCTGTTTTCCTTCATGTTCTCAAATCTCAGATTGTAAATAAAGACGGACAATGTGTCTCCACTTTCCTCCAATGTCCAGAAATAAAACATCAAGATACACCGGTTTGTGCCCGGCAGTGGAAGACATTCTGCTGACATAATGGAACCGGTTCATTGTTTGAACATTTATTTCTTTAGCTTATTTTTTGATTTGAATAATTTGTGGTCAAAGTTTTGTTGCAGCAAACAACAATGTTTTTATTTCCACCAGCTAGACCCGCCCTTACAGCCGTCGCCTAGCAACAGAGCTGCAGAAGAAAAAAAGTTCTTCGGTTGATTTAAAAAATGTTTTAAAGATTTTTTTTTTTTTTAACATGATTACCGTAAGATATTCACTTACATTTAAAATTCAATTCTTCAGATGCAGCCTCTGAAGGGTGCAGTGCCCAAACTGAAACACAACAGTGTGTGTGTGTGTCATTATCAATGAAGCCCCTCCCCCTCCTCATGTCTAGATGTGTCCCTAATTGGCTCATTAGCAGAAGAAATCTCATGTACATGTCACCGTAAACACATGGAGACGGAGACGGAGCAGCGAAACAAGTCATGCGTTAAATGATTAAATGACACTGATGAATAAACCAACAACTAGAAGCTGTGATGATGATGAAGTCAGGATCTCACAGGGATCAGAAACTATTGAGGCACTGAAACAGACTCTGACCTTTGGTGTATAGATCTAAAGTTTTTGTTTATGTATATTCGTCCCTTCGCTCACACTGATTGGAATTGAACGGGCGGCAAAGTGGCGTCACTTTGCTGATGGGCGGCCGTGACCTGACTCATGTTGTGTGTGGATGAAATTACTCTCCGATGAACAAAATGTCAACGTTTCTGAATATCCACGTAAAGTCTGCATCCTTTCTCTGCTGCAATATTTTTGTTACTTGTCGGTCGACATGAACGCTGACACTGATATATGTGATGCTACTGGCAGCCATGTTGCTCTTACTCGATTCTGTATGCCACAAGTGTTTTGCCCTCAACTTACTCTGGTGCCTGAATTCACTGTTGGACCAGAGAGAAACGTGGGAAATACTCGTGACCACCACACAACGTAAAGATCTATAATAGATGTATTTACTGTGTCGGCCGTATTCTGAGGTCTGCAGGGTCGGGCCTTTAATGGCAGTGAGAGGGTGTTAATGACATGGCCACCAGATTGCCAACCTCCACAC